ACGACTATTGAAAAACTGGCCCTAAGTTATTCACCAAATTAATAAATATATACATTAATACTAATAATATAAATGTATTACTCAATTATATTATTCGTCTCTTTCTAACTATAGTTACAAAGAGACGAAGAGTGAGTTAAGCTAAAATTAGAGTTAAAAGCGACTATTGAAAAACTGGCTCTTAATTCCATAACAATTACATTTATTGATTATTAATTACATTACAATTATGTTTATTGATTATTACATTACAAGTCCTTATACTTAATCGCAAAAAATACGGAAACTATATATCGCAAGAATAACGTAAGTTAATAAAATCGAGTATAAAAAGTTAAAGAATTCGCACGGTAGATATAACGCATAAACTGTTAATCACTAAGATAACATAAAAATTAAAGATCGAGTCGTAAACGCGCAGTATTTTAGACAATAATATTGTATCGGATTAATCTAAAGTTTGTTATATATATGTACATACAAGAGGCTTTTATCAAACAAGCGAAGTATGAGTCTTTAATGCAAAGGAAAACCACAACGAATCCACAAGAACATGAATTCACAACGAGTTAAATCCTTGTACGATTACCAATCCAAGATAGTAATGGTAATTTCTCGTCTCAATACGTGTCGTCCTCGAAAGATTTTGTTGACTACAGAATATGCGACGTCTCTCTTTTCCTTTGACTTGGTCGTTGATATGCTTCTTGATTTGTATGATGACCGCGTATCGCGGAACTCGTGTATGAATTTACAATAACGTAATATATGCCACGACATTTTAGTACTTAATACGATACTAGCAATTAATTACGACAAAAGCGATTAATTACGACAAAAGCGATTAATTACGACAAAAGCGATCAATTACGACAAAAGCAATTAACATGACACAAATGATCAGTTCTCAACTGAACTTGAAAGTATTCCCGATAAATATTATCGTGGAAGAAAACCTAGTACGTGACTCGAGTATTTCTAACAACATGAGAAGGTAAAATGATTCGGTTAATATTTTTATGCAGCTTTAAGATTTTCTATTAATACGTGAACTTTGGAAAAGGAATTATTAGATTTAATTTCAAAAAAATTCAATTCAATAAAGTTCCAAAACATTGAACTTTCAATCGGAAAATTTAAATTAAATACATAAAAAGTTTTAAATAATATATCAACTGGGTTGAATGCACTGTTTTTGATTTTTGAGATACATAAGATGATCCTCTATTTCTTGATGAGATTTGCCAAAGTAAACAAAAGATTCCTGAGAATCTCTAATAGTGAATTTTATGGTAGGTACTTTTTATGCCAGTCGAATCTTTTTTCACATTTTTGTTGGTTGGAACCATGTAACCGTGGAGGCTCCAAAAAACTATTGCATCACGACCATCTATACAAATAAAGTCAAATAAATAAAGAATGTTTACAAGTGAAAAAATATAAATTTCTAACAAAATAATATAACTTACTATCAGAAAGTGTCTCCTGTTGTAACATTTGTAGGTATGCTTTTATGGATTTATCTTTTACATGATTATCTTTGCATAAAAACGATGTAAGGTTATTTAAACAACTCTCCCACTTATTTAACAGACCATTTCCCGTGTCAAATAAGACATTAAAATCCATGTCAATCTGTAAAACATTTTAAGAATTAATTCGTTTGTCAGTTCTAAATTTCCGTGTAATATAGTTGATATAATATTTCCGTTTTGATATATACCAATCTAAAGCCAGATGGTTTTTTATAGAAGGGCCACTTTTCAAAAATAGCTGCCGTGTTTGCAACACTGTTTACTTCTTTTAATCGGTATTGGCCACATGCTTTCTAACAGTTGTCAAATTCTTCTGATGTCAGGTCGTCAAATTTGAGTGTATTAATGCAACTTTCCGCATCGTTTTCTGGAACTAAAATATTTAACATTATTGACATCAGACATATAATTTTTAAACTTGTAAGAACTTACCAAAGATTTTCAGATCTTGTTGAGTTAGTTTTGAACTTTCTGGTTTTTTTGGCAAAATATGTTTTCCAACTGCTGTTTTAAGAGAAGATTTTAAATTGGTAAGTTTAATATATAATTTTCCGCGTTTATCTGTTCGATAATATTGCTATAAAAGCACATTTTATAAAGATAAATATCCATACTGATCTTTTTTAATGAAAAAATTTCAAATAAACTTATTAATTTTTCAGTAGGAAATCTTTCTAATATTTCTTTTTCAAGTCTATAACTGTCTGCCATCGACATCTTAATACTATTTTCTTCGAAAAAATTCGCACAGGTATTGATCAATAATGATCTTTGTTCATCATCAAATTTTCCATATTTTTTGTAGTATTCTACCAACATAATGCCCTTAGGGGTTTCATTTAAAATAGTTGATAATGTTATCATAGTAGTTTCGTCTACTGATGGAGTTGACGATCTTCTATAAGGTGAAAAACGAGATCTCGATGTCGAAGGTACATCAGATTCAGTTGATAGAGCTGGGGATGATGGTCCGCTTAAGTTGGAAAAATTCATATTTGGTGTTTCCAGCGGAAGGTTTAAAGAATTTCTCCACTTCTCCAAGTTATCTTCGAATAATATTTGAGTGCCAAGATCGAATGATTTCAGAAGTTTTTCGATATGATGCTGCTTTATGATTTTAAGTATTTTTATTACAACATTCTCCCCTAAAAAAAGTATATTTTATATTGAAACATAGGTGTACACAAGAAATTTACTTACTTAGAAGATGATCCACTAATTCTTCTTGATTCCAACTTTGAAGTAGCAATCTTAATTCCTCTCTGTCTCTATTGTCCTCTAATAGTCGATATGTATCTTGTGCAATTAATTCGTTTGGAGAACCTAAGTTTTCGAGTAGTAGTTGGGCAGTTTCATTGTCAGGATGTTGCAAATTTTCATTCTGATTTTGATTAATTTGTGAATTTGCTGTCGTAGCTGTCAATTGCGAAGAAAAATTTTCGAAAACTGGAGGTAAATCATACTGATAAATATTTTCGCTTAAAGAAGCGGTAGAATTGATATTTTCGACGCCTTGAGGTACCAATAAATTATTATTTATATGGGTTTCCATTCCTTCCTGTGTAGTATCTTGACAGCTAGATTTAGAGATATCATCCATTATTTGTATTCTATAACAGTCACAGAGCGACGTTTGGCTGCGGGATATAATTTGACCGTCAGTATAATATTGTAATATTACTAAAAATATAAATAATATGACATTGAGATTGCTATAACATTAATTTCTGTTTCGCGTCACCACCATATATAATCCGACATTTTTGGGAAATCCGACATTTTTAGTACAAAATTTAGAAAAAAATTTGGAAAGAAAAAATGTTGACAGAAAATACTGAATGATTCGTGCAAAACAGAAATTGTACAGAAATCACATAAAATATCAATTCATTACTTAATACAACTTTTTGTTCTTACATAAAAGTAGGTATAATATTTTAAGCAATAGATTTATAATATTTTTTTATTCGTATCATTGATTTGCCTTTAGCAGTTTTTATTAGAGTAACTGGAGGTCCGATTATATCATTCGGAGATATTATAGAAAATTCTCCTAAGATCGTTTCATCAATTTCATACGCAAAAAAATGTTGCCTATATTGCAATCTTTGCAACTTTTGACAAAAAAATAAAACTTCATTGTTTCGAAATAAAATAATGTCTAATATCAAATATATTTCAACATAACTTCCAAAAGTTGCTATATAGTTGTTTTTATTGTTATACTCAACGCCTTTATACTCTATACGAGAATACAATTTGATATCGCCTTCATTAACATTGTTTAATTTTTTAATAATAATAGAATAATAATTACTCGATATTTTGTACTTATCATCGAACTTAAAAGTTTTACTTGCTAGATTTTCAATTTTTATTCATTTATATGCAAATTGTAATTCATATTTTTTACTTAATGTAAGACAAATGTTTTTTCGAGAAGTGATACAATGGGAGTACACTTTAAATTGCCGATGCTTTGCCTCATATTTAAAACACCAGAATTTCCTTAAAGGTCCAGATTGACGAATAATTGTTGGATAATGAGTTAAATTATGAAATTTAGGCTTCAACGTATCATTAAATAGTTTGATGTAATCACTATTATGTTTTTTAATTTTGTTTTCTAATAAAAGAATGTTTACTTCGTCAATTTGAAAGCAAAGTATAATATCAATAATTTGAATAAAATTAATTAGAAAATTCCAGACTTCATCATCAGATGGAACTAAGTCTCCAACCATAAGAGGAAAATGCATAATGAATGTCATCATTTCTGTAGCTGACATTCTTAAATGTTTTTTTTTCTAAATGTGATGATGTAATTTCACCCGAGATATTTCCAATTTCTTTTGGTCCATATTCGAAATTTTGTTTTCTTGAATTTAAAATTTTTAGATCAAAATATTTCATTTTTTTTGTGAAATAAGTACGTGCATGACATAAATTGTAGTGGCAAACTCCCTCAAAAATATCATGCATGACGTCCACATAATAGTTTTCATACATGAAATGATGGAATATCATTTAATAAAGAATTATTTTTGGTAATTATTTACAAAAAGACCCCACTCGCCAATGACCTTGATCTTGACATATGTTGTGAAGGTCACCTTCCTGAGTGACCTTCAAAAGTTTTTAGCCGGCGGTCGTTATTCGTTAAAAAGTTATTAACAAAAAAAGTTTGGCGACCTCACCGATTTCAATGACCTTGATATATGTTGTCAAGGTCATGACCCCGAGTGACCTTCAGAAGGTTTTAGCCATCGCTCGCTATTCGTTAAAAAGTTATTAACAAAAAAAGTTTGGAAAATATAGTATATATAAGTGCATATATAGGTTAGTTGACGCGCTTTAAACACTTAAATACTTTTAAAGCGCGTCAACTAACCTATGTGGCATCTCGCATATTAACTTTCCACGCATGAAAAGTTCACGCCGGCCCGAAAGCAGGGGGGGGGTGTGCGTGAACCTCGGTTCGCGTGAAAAGTGTATGCGTGAACTATTTCGGGGCTACCGCACCTCCCCCGAAAGCAGGGGGGGGTGTGCGTGAACCTCGGTTCGCGTGGAAAGTGTATGCGTGAACTATTTCGACATATATATTAGTTATTTATGCCTTCCATTACTCAAAATAGCTGCTATATTTTCGAAACTTTTTTTGTTAATAACTTTTTAACGAATAACGACCGCCGGCTAAAAACTTCTGAAGGTCACTCAGGAGGGTGACCTTGACAACATATGTCAAGGTCAAGGTCATTGGCAGGTGGGGTCTTTTTGTAAATAATTACCTTATTTTTAATTCCAGTGCGTTGTGAATTATTTATCTTTAAGTCATTATCGTAATTTGTAATTGTTCGCATCAATTCCTTATTTTCAGTGGTTAGTTTTTTACAATCCACGTTTTCTACTTTACAAAGTCGACAGAAGGAATTACTCGAAAACGATTGATTAAAATCTAAAAATGAATTTAATCCTAAGTTATCCCCAAGCACCAAACCCAAGATAAAATAAACGCGTAAAATTGAGTTTTCATCGATTTTAATGTCTATACCGCATTTATTTCTAAATATTTTAATTCATTTATAAGAGACTGAAAACATTTTTCATTCCCATAATTTTTTATATCAGTAGATTTTATAATCGCAGCAAAAAATACATTTTCCAATTTAGATTCTTCCACCGGAAAACACGGAAAAGAATAGTAAAAATTACAAATTGAATGAACCTTGGAGTGAGATCCAAGAGGATTATTAATTTCAAACTCATCCAAGTACAAGAAATATGGCATCACTATTTTATCAGAATATAATTTAGTTTTTTGTTTCCATAATTCGCCTTGCACAAAATTTGTGAATATCGGACACTTTTGTAAACAGTCAATATTATCTAATGTACGTTTTAGAAGTCCTCCTTTTTCAAATATTTTTCTAAATTGAAATCTCAAGGGCATAAGAGCACCCTTTATTTCTTTTTCACCATATATAAAACTACCGTTTCGATGAATTCCACTAATTGCGTCATCAATTGTAAATTCTTGTACATTTTCAATGTAATTCTCACTTTTTAACCATTTATACAATAAATAATCAGTATTTAAGAATTTGAAGGGATTTCTACAATTTGATATCAGACTACTAAATTCGTTATATACAGAACTGTTTGCATGAAGTTTATTATTGATAAATGATTTCATAATATCCAATAATGGATCAATTAAACATTTGTTCGCGTATTTCTGTATTTTAAAAACATCCTTCCTGGAAAAATTATTATTATTGTGGAGAGTAAGTACAAATTCCGTAACAGAATCAACCATTTTTTTAAGCGACTCTTCCATTTGAAACTCAGGAATTGAACTGTTCTCTATTTCAATTATTTCTGATGTTCGCGTTTCATTAATATCATCATATGACGTACAAACGGGATAATTAGAAACTAAAGATGCAGTAGAATGACTAGCACTTGCATCAAATTCCGTGTTATTTTGTATATCATTTTGTGTATCATCGAAGTTACAATCTTGACTTTCAAATTTATTACCAATATCTTTATCATTTACATGTTTACGCGTTATATGCTTTTTAAAGCTACTTAAATTTTTAAAAATTTGAAGACAATTGGATTTACAACATCTAAATATTGAATTTGTTTTTAAATCATGACTGCGTTTAAAATGACAAATCAGTAAACATAAAGACTTAAAGTCTTTGTTACAAATATAACATAACATTTTGTTTAAAAATATATGAAATGTATGAAAGTATCTTATTCGGGCGAACTAGTACCAGCAACAGCTGATCTACATAATGCACGCAATAAATGTAACGCAAGTAAATTGACATACGATATGTAACGCGTATAATGGAACGCAAGTAACTCAATCTGAAACCAAAACGCAAGTCACGTAACGGAAATGGGTTAAAGTAATTGCAATGTAATAAATACAATGCGAGGAATATAACGTAAATCGTTGCAAAGTACACCGCGAAGAATAATTAAACTAAATTAACGCCAGGAGTAAAATACGAGTAAAATGACACACATGAATATAAACGCAAGAGATATCACACAACAGGTGTGCCGCAATTAAATAATAGCAACCAACATGTCAAGATTCCACCGTAAATAAGATAGACATGTAGCGTTAATGTTCGAATGTAAAGAGTGTAATGCACATGAATACAACGCAATGAATATGTTAAGATATTTATGCACGAATCGTAATATGAGTAATGTGACTGTAACCGAATCAACGCAGGAATTATAAATTGCACAACGCAATACAGGCTTGGAATCTCGCGAGCTTAGAGACGTATTGGTTATATCGATAATGCAAGAAACGAGTCAAGGTTACGCAGTTCGTTAGAGTAAACAACTTCTGGAATTTCTCCGGGCGGCGAAACACTTCGTCGATATAATATACGTATAATATACATTCTATTAATGAACAACGATTCGTGATTTAATGAATCCTATCATTGACTGATGAAAAATATTCAATGTACGATTCGTAATTATCAACGATATAATATACGAGCGTACTCGAAAACGCGACAACTTGAGAGATGAATATTGCAAAGGGAATGGCCATCCGAGGGCCAGGGAACGACGCAATGCTATGAAACGAGAATGAGTGTCGTCTTTTAACACAATTATCCGAGATAATTCGGATGTGCTCGTACGAGCGTGCAAATGCGGTACATCCGTGAGCCGGAATTGAGAACAATCGAAGTACTTATATTATATCGTTGTTGTTTGTCGATGACCATTCGGGATGATCAAATGTCCGCACGAACTACCTTGTCCGATTCCGACCTCGAGGAACAGCAGTGTCCAACGCAATTCGGGAAGTCGATCCGAAAGGAAGATCTTTTTCCCTGAGCCTCCGAGAAGAAACGCACGCTTTTCCTTTCCTTTGACGCAGAGGCAGGGACGAGACTGCCGAGACCTCGCTGGCCGGCACGCACTAAAATCATTCGCCGAATATCGCGTTCCGCGAATATTAATGTTAACGGAACACAAATGTCACTACCCGGTTAATCAGAGCATACTGTTATTCTTTTCGCGAAAGGCGAACTGTATCTCGCAACAGGAGAATAATACGTTGTCGAATAACGAAGTTATTGTAAGTTCGAACGACGCGATTCGAGCAATCTACACCGCGTGTTTCGACCGACTACGCAATTTTCGCGTCGCTGCGGGAACCGTGAGCGCGGACCGGAAGAAAAGAACGAAAGAACGATCGGGCTGAACGCTCCTCGCCGCGCCGCGCCCGTTGTCGTTAACCGGAGACACTTTTCGAGAGTGGTCGTTGACGCTCAAAGACGCGATGCGAAATGCACATGAAAATCGGTATAAGTTGATGTGGATACGTTACCTCAACAAATATTTCATTCAGCCAATGTCCAATTTCACATTTAATGAATGAGTTTATTGATTCTACTAAACACATTCATTGGGAGAATGAACATTTTTATTGATTTAATTAAATGTTACATTAAGCTAAGAAACGTTCAAGTACATTCTATTAACGAACAGCGATTCGTGATTTAATGAATCCTATCATTGACTAATGAAAAATATTAAATGTACGATTCGTAATATCAATTAAAATTCACTGTATCAATAAATTTCAAATCAATAAACGTTATTTACTAAGAGGCAAAATGGAATAAAAAATCCTATAATACGAAAATATGGGCTATATGAGGCCACAATAATTTTTGAGTTATAATTAGTGATTAAAATTTGCCAACAATATTGCGCAATAATATTGCGTACAATTTGCGCGCTCAGGTTCGTAACTACACTTATACCGATTTGTCATCTGTTATTAATTTTTACAAGATAAATAATAAATAAATTGATTTTCACAAATATTTCTCCGCGTGATAAAAATAAAAATAAACTTTGTTTCTTAAATGTATCAAAATATAAACTTTATAATTGTCGGGAGGCGATCTCGACGCCGAGATCGTCCCAATTGAATCGCCGGAATTCGCTCAGAGATGAGCGCGAAGACGTTCGGTGGCGCGAGCTTTGAGCCTCGCTGAAAGATGTGGAGCAGCAGAAAGAAACTTACTTACCTTGTAATTTAACACAAGATAGATCGCACGCACACAAGAGTTCAATAGCGAACGAAAAGTACTTTTGTCGAGACGAGCGGTTTGAGATTTTCGTTGAAATGCGAACGAGCCGACGATTCGAGAGATTCTGCCCGCTTCGCGCTCGATTCGACAGTCGTGCCGCGCGAAACGGGGATAGGTAGTCAGTCACTCACGGAGCGGGTGATTTTGTTTTCCGATTTTATTTGTACTTTCGTCTAATGCTAACGCGTGGAACACGCGTTCCTGTCGCTAGGCACGATGCCTCGACAAATAAGCGTGCGAGACGCTCGTCGAGGCACATGTCTGTGGTTCGCGGCGTTCGTGACTGGGCTGCGCATTTCGAGCGCTCAAGAATCCGAAATTTCGGTTTGACTTTTAAACAATAATTCTATTTAAATGTAATAATTAATCAACCATTTACATTGTTATTTAAGAAAGAATTAAATATTTTACGTACAACATTTATAACTCGTTAATATTAGTTGACCGCCATATGTAATACCCAAACAGGCACATATATAAGAAACAATAAATCAGTTAAAACTTAAATAAACAAAATAAATGCGCGCGCGTAGATTATTTTTTTAATTATTTGCTGGATAGTAAGAATAATATTTTAGACATTGTCTGCCAGTTTTGTCAAAATATAGAGCACCGACAATCGGGTATTGATAGAAAGCTTCCGGTGTTATTTCAGAGTAAAAAGGTATTTTTAATAAATTTTCCTGGCTTGGCTTTTCCGTGCTGATCATGTGCATATGCATTCCGTTGTATACAGGTTTAGAGATCGTTGGCGTTTGAGATGGATAATGACCCAGTATATACTCCAATTTCTTTACAATTTCTTGAAACATTTTGGTGTCTTTCACTCGTGCAACTAGGCATGGATAAGCGTATTCCAGCACGATATCCTCCTCATGTTCCTCCACACGCTTAATTAACTCCGAGAAAAGCTGTTTGTCAATAATACAGTGATGTACATATTTGTCGCATAAGACAAATTGCTAGATGTTACATATAGGTGCATTTTAAGTACATAAAATGAATTTACTACTATAATCGTTATCGTTCGATTTCCACAAACTCGAAGATTGCGCGAATTTCATGAAAGATCTATTGAAATAAGGCGTGAATCGTTGCAACATACCTCGTCTTGTGCAGTTAAATTTTGTTGAAACATATGCATTCCGTCGGATGCACGTCCAGAGATCGTTGGCGTTTGAGAAGGATAATAACCTAGTAGCATCCCAAACGTGTTAATAATTCCTTGAAATACCGTGGTGTCTCCTATTCGTAAAACCATGAATGGATAAATGTATCGAGCTGCGTTGGCTACGTTTTTTGGTAGCAATGACAACAGGTAGTTAGAAAGAGCGGACACCATAGACTCACGTTTTGCCAGACGTGTATCTGTAATTAAACAGTTAATTTCGCGTTTCATTGGAACTTGTATAAGCTGTTACACGACTTTCAAGATAAGCGATGCATTAGGTTATTAGTTTTACCAGTAGTATCAGTAGGCTGGTTTATTGGAATTATCGAGTCGATGGTTGTAGGATCCGATCTTTTCCTTCGGTTGTGTACCATCTGGAGAAATATCATTCTTATGAAATATTCAGTAACTTACATGATCAATTTATGTACAAAAAACACGACAAAAATATCAGCGTGTTATATAATTAACTCCAAGAAAAGCTGTTTTTCAATAATACAGTGATGTACAGGGTGTATGAAGACAGGGTATATAATAACATTATTGATTTAACATTAATATAATCATCATATTTGTATTTTATCTTTACAGAAGATTATAAAAGGTGCTTTATGCTTTCTCGCACTTTCGATAACATTACGGATGTCATTTCTTGACAGGCTACTTCTATTTTTTGTATAAACTCGTTTCTACAAGGTGGCAGTGTCTACAAGGGGCTTCGAAGATAGCCTTATTCAACATTTCAAAGGTAAATCTATTATTATTCGTGAGCCGCGATCACGCGCCTCGAGGAGCGTCGCGCGTGATTATTCATCGAGGCACCGCGTCTAATAGCGACAGTTAAGAGCCTGTTCACACGAGACGTTTCTGCCGCGCGTTATTGTCGCACCTCGCCTCGCGATAACGCGCGGCCACGTGCGTACAGTAGCTGACGATCCTTACGAAAATCTCGTGTCGTTCGTAGCTGAGATTAAGTATTGCTCGCTTGCGGTAAGAAAAAAATACTGTTGCTTTAATTAAATGTGGAATTTCGGGGTGCCAAAACATAAATAGTTGATTCAATTGTATAAATAGTTGATTCAACTATAGCGTAGTCGTTTTAATAATTCAAATATTGAATTAACTATTTATACAATTGAATCAACTATTTATGTTTTTGGCACCTCGGAATTTCACATTTAATTGAAGCAACAGTATTTTTTTCTCAGTGTAAAACTCTGTGATGAGTACGGTTCGCGTGCGGTGAAATTCTGTGATTCTGAAACTGCTTATTGTTCATGTATTGTAAAACCGAGTTTGTGAGCTGACGCCCGTATTATTTTTGCGCTCGTCCTCGGCCTCGCGATCAAGATCAATGACAGCAAAATTTCCGACTGCAAGGTCTCCGACTTCAAGATCTTAAGATCTCCGGTTCGCGAAAAATAGATTATCTTTAGCTTGTAGTTATGCTGTTAATAATTTACTATAAAATTTCAATGTTTTAAAAAATAAAGTACACATATTAAACAGTAGATTAAGATAAATAAAGTTAAAAAATATTAATTTTTGGCTGAGATATTAATATAATAAAAAACGTTCTTTGAAAATCATGGTTGACACGATTCCTGTGTATTATATGAATTATTTTTATATATTATGTTTTTATTTTAATTAAACAAATGTTTTTGACAATTGATTATTTTTTTGGTATATACAGCACAAGCAATTGATTTCACTTTATTGCAAAATCTAACACATGATTTAATAAGAGAACTGATTCCAACGATTGGCTTAAGAATGCGCTTCATAACGAAATGGAAAGAACATTTTCGGATCTCAATTGATGTAATTATGTTTTTTTTCTACTATTTATCTCTCTCTAAAAAATAATCATACAATTTTGTTTATTATATTATTAACTCAAATTTTTTGTTACAAATTTAAGTATTTCACAAATCTCAAATATATATATATATATATATATATATATATATATATATATATAGAAAGAGAGAGAGAGAGAGAGAGAGAGAGAGAGAGATTTATAAAATACTTAAATTTGTATATATATACATATATATATATACATACAGGGTGTACCAAAAAAGTTTTGCAGTAATCAAATATCTCGAAAACAAAGCATTTAGAAAAAAATGTTTTAAATAAAAGTTGTAGGGTTCTAAGTGGTGCATTAAATAGTAATATTAGTGTGACTATAAATACACTGAGAAAAAATGCTGTTGCTTCAATTAAATGTCGAATCACAGGGTGCCAAAAACATAAATAGTTGATTCAATTGTATAAATAGTTGATTCAATATTTGAATTATTAAAATGACTACACTATAGTTGAATCAACTATTTATACAATTGAATCAATTATTTATGTTTTTGGCACCCCGTGATTCGACATTTAATTTAAGCAACAGCATTTTTTCTCAGTGTAGCTTTGTTAAGGCCACGTAAAAATTACTTACCTAGTAAGTTTTTAATTCTTTTTTTACATCCTGTATGTATATGTATATAAGATATAAATTAAATTATATATCAAAAATTTTTATAAATTTTTTGATACATTTTGATTTTTGTAAACATATAGGTATTATAAATTTTTTTGTATACATCATAAATCACATAAATGTTTATTTAAGAATTCTTATTATTACAAGAGTTTAATTTTGTAAATAATTTTATAATTAATATAGGAACATCAAGACGCGCGATAATTCTGACACCGCGAGCGATAGTTCTTCAGAATCAAAAGAAA